AGGCCTCAGCACAGGCGTTTCGGGGGCCGTTTTGGGAAATCAGCCTATCAGGTTTGTTGAAGATCCAGGTTGTTTTGTGAAGTCACATGTGGATAATCCATGATAATCCTTTCGAATTCGAAAAATAGAGTTCAGAATAAAATAATATCAAATATCACCAAGAGCAAATCAGTCTATCTGTGGAGGAGGAGTGGAGAACTGAGTCCCCTAGGTCCCCTGCCACTGCGCACATCAGTCACCTCGGCTATGGATCGGTGAGCCTCGTGGAATCCCAGGGATATCCATGTTCCGCGCAAATATCGATGATTTTCCATGATTAACTGGGGATAACATGGGATAACATCGATTTCCCCTATTTTTTCCAAATCGACAACATCATTAAGAAACATAAGTTGTTTTCCGTGATGACATGGAAATCACACCATAAAAAACAAACGTTTTTCCATGATGAAAGGGGGATAACACCATAAAAACATAAGTTTTTCCATGATGAAATGAGATGAAATGAGGATAACATCATTAAAAAACACATGCATCGGTTTTTCACCCCCAAAAAACATGACCGCGGAGCTTGGTTCACCGACCTTCACGCCAGCTGCCACTGCGGCCTGAATTCCGGCCGCAGTCCCTCAAGGACTGATCAAACATCATCATCATCATCATCACCACATATTATACATATATATATATATATATGTATATATACATACATATATACATATATATATATATATGAGTACATATACGTATATATATATATATATATATGAGTATATATATGAGTATATATATATATACACACATATCAATGTCAATGTGAATATGAAGATATTCTAAACCTCAATGAAACATCTCCGAACAACTAACATCAATTCATTAAGCATGTCATTTTGCATCACCCAATGCCGCCTCTGCAACAGTCCCCCTGCGAATCTCCGCCACGAGTTTGGCGCTGCGACGCGGAGTCAGCACTACCTTTGCCAATGGAGTCCAGCATCTTCCGGATGTTGGGGAATCATGATTACCCTCTGGTAAACATACAAAAAACTATGGAAAATCACCATTTTTAATGGGAAAATCCACTATAAATGGCCATTTTCAATGGCTATGTTAAATTACCAGAGGGTAATTCATGATTGGATGAACAATAATATGGATGAATATGGGAATTTCCTACAAACACGGTCATCTTTCTGAAGTGAAAGCCATGGCATTTCCCATGGCATTTCTGACACAAAGTGGAAAAATCACTTCCGGGGTTGAATCCCCAGCACGAAAAAATGCTCGTCAATTCTTGATCATCCGTGCTGGGATTGAATCTCTCCTCATTTTCATTGGTCATATCCCCATCTTTGTTCAGAAAACTCCAAATTGGAGCGTTGCTGAAAAACCCATTAGTTCAATAAATTTATACACCACGGACAGATTGTCATGGGTAGATTCACACCATCAGTCATCAGTCGTCCATCACACTTGGGTCTGAAGGTTTGGCTCATTTTTTCCGCTGATCACCCAGTTACCGAACATCATCCATCACGGTAACCCCATTGAACTTTTTGGAGCAAACCCAATGACATTTCTCCAACATTCATATTCTCGTACATCCCAAAATTGCAATTCATTCATGGGAAAAAATGATGGAAAAACCGATCCAATTCTCCATTGGACTCGCCTGTGGAGGGCAGGGAACAGCCGCGGGCCAGCTGCGCCCCAACCAGTAACGGCTGAGATAACCCTTGACCTGGCGGCGCGGCTGCAGGGGTTTGTCTGAAAATGTTGGACAACCAAACATCCCACGCTTTGTCAATGGTTATCATAATATTCCCTATGTCAAATGGCAATAAAGTGGATTCTACACCATTTTCAGACGCACCTATGTGTTGGAAACTGATGGGAAACGTTGAGATGTGAACTATACAAACCATTTTCTGGTGCTTTGTAGCTGATACCCGTGTGCGGTCGGTCTTACATGGTCTTACTAAACCAAATTTAAGCTCAGGAAGTCGAAGGCTAAAGGGTTCATGCTGTGTATTGATAAACATATTCGTCCAACAGCTAGGAACTTGATGCATCTACTCACGGCCTACAAGCACCAAACTTGGGTATTCAATCCATTCTATACGATGTAATTATTAGTTTTGTATGTTGGTCTTGTCTAAAATTAGGTACTTCCACATCCCATTGTTCATGACAATTTACCCCGCAAGGACAAGCAAAAAGGGCATACCTTATTTCTGCAAGAGAAACAACGCAATTAATATGCACAGGTTGTTTCACCATTAGAATCCATTATGTGTATATGTAAGTATATATATTGTTAGTTATACCATCCCACCAACTACTATAGACCCTGAGGATTGCACGTTTTTAGAGGAAAGTAATCTTCCAGCCCCCTAAGGTCTAGTTAATTTGGAGGACAATGTGTCCCATCGTATCCCATTAAACCCTCTGGTAATTTAATGTAGTCATGGAAACTACCCATTTGAAAAAAATCTTGACCTGTTGTTTCCATGACAATTTTTTCATCCTTTTCCATCATGTTCCATCAGTTTCCTAGATTATATACCACAGGGCATATCCCGCTGGCATCCCACTAAAAAATCACCATTCTTCATGCTCAAATCAACATCTCCCCCTATGTTCATCACCATGTTTGATGATTGAATCACCATCCTTGGTGGTTAAATCACCATATTTCATGCCTAAATCACAACTGTTAAAGGTTAAATCACCACTTCCCATTAGAAATGTATACCCTGCGACACATATCTTTCTTTTCGGCAAGGCACCCAAATCTTGAAGCGGCAAGCCACAAGACCTGCGCAGACAGGGCAACAAAGCTACCAAACATGGTGCATATACTACTGGTATATTTTTGTATATGATGTGATATCGCACTATACCATATCCTCATCATATGACATGGTATTATGATATTAATTATTTATATTATATAATATACACTGTATGTATATTATATTTATATTCATACATTGTATATGTGTGTATATATATATACATGATTATAAATTTCACAATCCGTGAACATTGATCCAAATTATATACTTGACGGATTTTCCACGGATGGTGATCATTCACTGCTGAATTTCCATCGTCTTTTTCCACCAGCCACAGCCCAGCAGCCACAGCGGTGCTAACGCCAAATCAAGATAATCAAACTGATAGTCATGTCTGTCCATCAGACATGAAGAGACAGACCGATTGGTCTAAGGATCATTGACACATCTCATATCACGACAGTGTCAATGTGATACCAGCCGTTTTTGTGCATGGTTGCCCACCATAGCAGGATCGAGTCACTACAGCATTGTTTCAAGTCTAACCATATTATGGGTGTAGCAGTGTAGAATAGTTTTTGGTCTTTTTTTGCCTCAGGTTTTGGATTTGTTTTCGCCTTTCTTTCCTGGTACCATGTGCCTTGTATTTGCAACAGTTTGGAACTAGAACCTGTCATTTTGCATGGTATTTGCTACATTTAGCCATGTTCGCCTTCCATTTCCATTTTGCATGGTATTTGTATGTATTTGTCACATTTTGGCATTTCAACCTCTCATTTGCATGGTATTTGCTACATTTTGGTACTTCAAACGTTCATGTGGGTGTCTTGAGGGTTCTGTAGGCTTTCATTTAGGGTGTCATTTAAGGTTTCATTAAGGGTTTCATTAAGGGTGTTATTTAGGGCTTCATTTGGGGTTTGTTTTAGGGTTTGATTTAGGGTTTCTTTAGGGTTTCATTTAGGATTTCATTTAGGGTTTCTTTACGGTTTCATTTAGGGTTTCTTTAGGGTTATATATAGGGTTTCTTTAGAGTTTCATTTAGGTTTTTTTCCCGGTTTCATGTCTCTTATCGGGATTTCTTATCAGGAGTTCTAAACGTTCAAATGGGTTTCTTTAGGGCTTCTTTAGGGTTTCTTTAGGGTTTCCTTTAGGGTTTCGTTTAGGGTTTCATTTAGGGTTTCATTTCAGGTGTCATCTAGGGCTTCATTTAGGGCTTCTTTAGGGTTTCAGTTTGGGTTTCATTTAGGGTCTCATTTAAGGTTTCTTTAGGGTTTCATTTAGAGTTTCTTTAGGGCTTCTCTAAGGTTTCATTTAGGGTATCATTTAGGATTTCTTTAGGGTTTCATGTAGGGTTTCTTTCGGGTTTCATTTAGGGTTTCATTTAGGGTTTCAATTTAGGGTTTCAATTTAGGGTTTCATTTAGAGTTTCATTTAGGGTGTCAATTTAGGGTTTCAGCTAAGGTGTCAGTTCAGGTTTCATTTTTTTTTTCAGAGTGTTGTTTAGGGTTTCTTTGGGATGTCATTCAGGGTGTCATTTAAAGTTTCTTTATGGTTTCATTTATGGTTTCTTTAGGATTAATTTATGGTTTCTTTAGGGTTCATTCAGGGCTTCATGTAGGGTTTCTTATCAGGATTTTTTTAGGTTTTTTTTTGGTTTCACCTAGGGTCTCTCTAGGGTTTCATTTAGGATACAAACAGAACAGAATAAAGCAAAATAAAATGAAAAACAAACAGACAGTAAAGACAGGAAGCAAAGAAGCAAAGGAGCAGGAAGTAGAGCAGCAAAAACACATGACTGAAGAAAAGAAGAATAGTAGAATAGTAGAAGTAGAAAGGCACAGAAGTACAAAAGCAGAGAAGCAGGGAAAACAGAGAAGCAGAAAAGCAAAGAAGCAGGAAAAGCAGAGAAGCAATGTAAGCAGAGAAGCAGAAAAGCAGAGAAGCAGAAAAGCAGAAAATCAGAGAAACAAGAAAGCATAGAACTAGGAACCCCCCAAAAAATCCAAAACCTGCCGCGAAATAAATAGCCCCCCCCATATTATTAATAGGATGTCTGGAAATGGTGAATACGCAACAAATGACAATTTTAGTAGGGAAAATGATGAAACTGATGATATAAAATGATATAAACTGATAATTGAGATGACTTACTTTTGGACAAACTATGACAAACTCATATATCGGATGTCTACTTTTCAATCATCATGGTATCACATGAAATCTGTCAAATTCAGCGCGACCCCGGAGGGGCTGTCCCTGTCCGCTGTTTCAGACTCTGACCTTGGGAGCAAGTTGGCATCATTTGCGCACACAGCTTAAAAGCTAGGTGCCGATTGTCGCCATGTCTCAGAATTGTGAATTTGGGATGCACATCATTTAGAGACAAACCATGACAAACCCAAGTTTGAAAGGATCCCAAAATGTAATCTTTGGCCCCATCCTACCTGAGCACCAATCCCCAGGACCCCTGCTTTCGCGTCATCTGAACGTCGTTGTGGGCGGTGGTAGTGACGGCACCGCCAGTGGCGCCGCCGGTGGCGGCGGCGTTCGCGGCGGCGTCCGGGTCCGGAAGCTCCCGAAGAATCCTCTGGAACTGGGGGATTTAGCGTCGCCTCAATGGGTACCATAGCCACCCCCGAAAAAATAGAAACGAAAAATGCAACTAAAAGAATTGATAAGAATTGTAAATTAGTTTTTGCTAAGTATAAGATACTGGTACTGGAATTATGATGATACACCATTGAATTTTTGGGGTATCCCACTTTGAAGAAAGCAAGCCCAAAATAACCAAATATGTCATGGCTCGGGACTTGGGACGCGCAACAGCCCCTGCAAAGCCCCGAAGTAGTGAGGTGGCTGTGGGTCAAAACTCTGATAACTCTCCTACTCTCCTGTTCACACCTAATTTTTTTCAAAAAAAGGCTACTTATATATAATTATGGATGTTCATCCTCCCCAAATCTGAAAAAGCAATCAAAATCATAGGTAACTTGACCCATCCCTAGGTTTATTTGGAGGATGGGACGATTTCAATCGACATGTCTGGGTTGCTTCTCCTGCGCGGGTGGGCGTCCGAGCGCTTCGGGTGTCCGTCCGGAAGGGTTGCCTTGCCACGGGCGAAAGGAGGCCTTTTTGAGGATGCAACATCTGTGTCACAATCAAACTTGCTCGTCCCCAAAGGCCTGGATATAGCTGGATGTTTTGGTATATCTGGTATATCCAGGTCTTACCCCCATATATCTGGGTAAATTACAACATTTCACTAACCTGAAAATCTTGCGGCCATTTTGGGATGAACCCCCTTATTAACCATGATTCCAGGGCTCGGTCGCGACGTGAGGTCGTGATGAAATTTACCCAGATATATACCTGGATATACCTGGTTATACCTGGTTGATCCAGCGCAACTTAGGCATCGCAGGTCATCAAAAACAGCGCAGCCAGCTGAGTCAAGCCCCCCACTGCCTTCCCCCTGCGCGTTCCTGGCGGGATCATCATCTTAGGTCCCATCAATCCCAGGTCCCGTTCCCAGGTCCCGTTCCCAGGTCCTCCGGATTGATTCCCTGGTTCTTCCCGTAAATTTCTCATATACCGTATTTCCTATTTATTTCCTGTGCATTCCTGTTTTTTTCCGTTGACTCTTATATAATTTATTTTCCCAGCTTGCTGCATTATGCTATAGTGTTAAACTACCTCCACAACCAGAAGCATCTACAGGTGGCTCCATCCCCATGATGAGCAATCATGGTGCCCCCTCTCACTAAGCCTGTCTACTAGTTGGGATAAATAGTTCAGTTAGGTAGACCGTAAATAAGGATAAGTGTAATTCATGATAGATTATATAGAATTTATTTTGTTACTTACACAAATTCCAACTCATTGTTAGCAAAGCCCCTTTTCATTGTAGGTCATAATCATCCACCCCTCTTTGTTTGGGATATCCGCAGTGCCACATGAGGATGCTCTCCACATCTCCACTCCTCGTCTTCTTCTGATTCTTCCGCAGTGTAGTGAATGACAGCTGCCTGACGCGGGTGGAATAGCAGAATTAGGGACATCATCGGGATATTTAAATCGCCTTTATGCTGCGAATGGCGGAGAAAATGGTCCACATGGGCTTAGATTGATGCATGAAACCCAGTACTTTGACATATGTCATATGTCGAAACATGTTTTGAAACATGTTTAAATCCAACACGATGAGTTTTTCATCCTGCCTCCCTGGCTCAAAAACTCCTGAAACACCATCAGCAGCATTTACCAAGACTGGTTCCAATAGGTAGCAATTATATACACATTTATATTATTCCAATTATCCACGACTGTCATCCATTTTCATTCATGGCTGTAGTCCATTCTTGCCAGTCCTACAGAATTTGGCAATCATGGAAATCCATCAACCATGATCCATTACTCACTGCTAATTCAACCGTTGGCCATTCCAAGAGGGTTTTTTATGTACCATTCATATCCCTTAAAAACCACCGCTGCTTCATGGATAAATCACCATCTGAAAAATGCTTCAATCACCACACCATCTCTTATGCTGAAATCACTATATATATATATTAAAGGACATATATATATATATATATTATATATTAAAGGACATATATATATATATGTATTATTATATATATATATATAATACATATACCCCAATGACCCAATGTTTGCCCGCCAAGGATCCCCCTCCCATCCGCCTCTTTAGCCAGGTGTCCAGGATCGCGGTAGATCAACAAGTTGTGAAGGCTGCACCTACCGGCGTCGCCGACCCAATCCCGCACCATCCCACCATAAGTCACCATTTTTTGAGAGCTATAAATAAACCACCCCCAACACCATTGAACCAATAATTCAATAACAAAGCATTCATAAAGCAATGATTGGATATAAGCTTGGAAAAAACCAATGATTGGAGTCTTTTTGTCAAATTGTTGTCCCAATCATTGGTTGATATCAGATACAACTGCTATACTTCTGATATAAACTCCAAATGGCTAAATCAATGATTGGACAATTATATCAGAGGGACATCAATAGTAATCAATAATTATATCTGATATAAACTCCATGTTGGATAAGTAGCCAAGTCTAATACCTTTGATGGTTAAACCTCTGTAATCATCTGCCGATTCGGTGCTTGAGCCTCTGTGAAACGTCATTGGGATAATCTATTTTTGCTGCGGCCATCTGTCCTATCCTCTCAAATCGAAGCAACAGTTCCAAGACTGTGAGAGAGCCTTGAGGAAGAAACATTGTTCAGTGGTTTTATGATGATACCCTCACAGTTGAAACAATGCAACACTTACCGCAATCATATCAAACATGTCTTGCGAACATTGTAGGTTTCGCACCATTGATCCTGTTGAAGTGGCACCCATTTCATCTCTTCATGCATTGCCAATCTTAGAAAACATCCAACAACACACATGCCAGGTACTTCCACGTTTGTAGCTAAGCATCAACCGATGTTCACCTAGCACTTCCTGGATTTGACCCAGGTCTCAGGAAGCCACCCGCGACAAAGCATGGCGTTCAAGGTATCCAGCAAGACGAAGGGAAACAGCGTTGCCAGGATGAAGCCTGGAACGATCCAACACTCCGTTGGAAAATCACGGAAAATCTCTGTCAAAAGCATGATGATGTGTGGGAAAAGTCCCTTCTGTCAAAAGCTACAGAGTCCACAAGCCCGCAAAGTATCGACCCAGTCAGCACCAGGAGCTGTTCCATCCCCCCTGCCTGAGATGAACATATCCTTAGCTGGCTGTACCCTTGCAGTTTGCAACCAAATGATTTTTTGAATTGATTTGATGGATCCTTCCAGCACTTGATTAAACCATCCGCCATCAATCGCACATGGATGACCTCAGGAATCAGAACTTCGACCACTGAAACCACTGAGCACCCCAGGCCCTGAACATGCGATTGGCATGAACCCACAAGCTCAAGAATTGCAGGAAGCCTCCAGCGATCCAAGCTGCCCTTGGATTTCTTCAGAGAAATACATAGCACCCCTAAGAAACAGTTGGATATGGGTCAAAACCTTGTACCCCTGGTGAACATCAAAATAGGTGGCAAACGGATGTTCATCCCCCAACAAACTGTATCTATAGGTATTGACCCATACCCAGTTCAGACACATATCCTACTAAAGTAGGCGTAACTACTGTGGTAGACCCAATAATGAGCCATCCCATTCACCAGTTGGGGGCTATTGAAAATCGTCCCAGTCATGGGGATTTTTGCCAATTTCATGAACATCAAACTTGGTTATCCCATAATCATCCATTATTATAGCACTATTTGGCCATATTATCCCATAAATATTCACTATTGGATTACCTATTATCCACACTATGAATGGTTATCCCATATATTATGACTGGTTACCCCAGTATAGTGTATTTATTCCTTATGTTCCATATACTACCCCATTCACCAACTTGGTATCTCTGCCATGTTTTTCCACCCACGCCTCCAACCCGATCCCAACATCTGGAGCGCAAAACCTGGGCGATCTCGGGGTTAAGCGCTGGAAAGTGATAGATATTATATATATATATTGTTGTATATTGTAATTGATGATAGTAACCCTTATAGTAGTTTATAGCATCAATCATTACACTTCGGTCACTTGAGTAGGTCTATATTTGAAAGAGTCAATCTTTGTATTTTGAGAATGTTTCACATGTTTATAAAAACTGTCCATCTGGTTGGTGGTTTCAACCCCTCTGAAACATATTAGTCAGTTGGGATGATTATTCCCAATATATGGAAACATAAAAAATGTTCCAAACCACCAACCAGCCATATTAGTCAATTATCTTCGTCAATTGAGTCTGCAGTTTTTTGGCCATGAGACGGTCCCCCAGCTACCAGAGCTACCAGCGCCCAGGGGAGCCCAGGGGAGCCCAGGGGGCCACACTCCCTCAGCCAGGAATAAGAAGACCTCATAAAGGAGGTATTTCCTCAGCAGATGACCCTCCGAAAAATGATCAAAAATAACTCACCAAGAGGGATACCGGGATGTTGATTATCACTCTAAGAGGGAGCGATGGTGCCATAATTTCCCATATTAAAAACATTTAAAAACAAGCTGGTCTGTTTTTCCGCTAACTCATGGAAGACTCGTTGAAACATCCGTGTTAGCACATTGATATTTGACTACGAATGTTCGGATGGGTCAGAGGTGTGCAAGGAGTCTATCAGCCCAGCTCAAAATGAACTCATGCCATGATCTCTTTGCCTTTACATAAATTCAATGAAAGCTTGCTGCACAAAAGTGCCAGTCAAACATGCTGCTGTTTTTTGATGTACCAATGTCTATCATTACTCAATTCGATATTTGCCTGCAGCATCTCCCAAAATCCCCAAAGGCCAAAGATTGTCCTACAACCCACAGAACTCTCCTATCCATCCATACAAACTCGGTGTCACGTGGCTATTTCCTGGGTATGCTAAAATATGTAACATTACTTATATCACATTATGTTGTACTGCAAAACTCTGTATAATGTTATATGTCATATGTATACTACGTACTGTAAACTACTATTACATATATATAGATATATAGATATTACATAGATATTACCTATTTTGACCAAATATATATATATATATATTACATAATATAATTATATATACATATAATACAGTTATTCCATGTTATTCCCGCACTAGTCCACTGGATTGATCATGGGAAACATCCCAACGGCCAAGCGACAAGATCATGCCGGCGACAAAGGTTTTACCCCATCTCAGCTGTGCGCGGGAATTTCTCGTGCTTCAACGATGTGAAACACTTGTGCAATTCTTCCACATTGAGCGACTCTAGATTCACTCTCATCAGAAGTCTTTCGTAGTCTTTCAACTTCACGGAACATTGTACATTGAAAGAAACAAGCGCACCCTGTCACTGACTGCGTCAAATTTTCCACCCCCCTGCCGACCCTTCGGTCCCCGGCCCCAGCCCTTGCTGTCCAGAGAGGGGACGGAAAGCCGCCTCGGTGAAGACCCGGCCGGTGGGGTTGAGACCGCCCTAAGGCCGCTGTTCCATCGTCGTGAGGAACAAACTTATTAGCACATTGAAGCGACCCAGAACTGCCGTTCTGAGGATCACTCCTCAAATGCCCAATCTTCGTGAGAGAATTGGTGTGGGCATGTGTGGGCTACATAACATCTCCATAGTCGTCATAATAAAGGAGGCATATCACACTTATCCACAGATGCCCCGTTTTGCCCAACCATCACCATGGCGTGACCAATCTAGATGCATTGCCACATGCTTGAAATTCTAAATCTCGTGCTCGGTTGTTCTCGCGTCCCCCAAAGATTTCAAAGAAAAGGATGCGAAACAACACTTTGGAACCATCACCAACTTTCCCAAACTGCGTACGACCCTCCAGAAAAATACGCATCACACATAAGTATCATAAGATGCTGTGTCTTCGGGTTTTGATCCCCATAAAAATACGCAAATCCGTTTGGACATGGCCCATTTCGATCCAGTGTTCCACCATCTGCCCAGCCACATAGATGGGGATTACAGCTTCGATCACTTGGATCCTGCGAGCGTTGCCGGGGATATGAATGGTTCAAGTGAAAAATCCATCCCAAAACTGGGCAAAACCGGTGAGAATTTTCACCATCTTTCACCAAAACACAGTTTTTTTTTGCAAAGAAACTTCTGTGGAACTTGGATGAACTTGGGGAATGGATTGCTTGGGCATTTCGCGAACAAGGCCATCTTATGCCCAAATCCAAAAGAGCATCATAAGGGATCGCAGCCTCAAGATTTGTTCAATTCATTAAATCACCTCTTCCATTACATAGGATAATGTAGGCAGGCCTTGAATCCTTTGGCCATCTGAATCTGCAGGTGATTTCTGCGATTTATCCTATTACATCCCATGAACAATCCCGATATTTTTGGTTGGTATATGATTTATTACAATTATATCCCCACTGTATCCCATTATTATGAATGTGATTTATGTCCCCATAAATCCGACTGTTTTGTTTTTTTCTTGTAGCACCTTTCCCACGGCCATTCACAGCCAGCCACGCTAGGGGACCAGGCCCAGTCACCAGAAGGGCTGAGACGGACAAGGGCACTGCCTACAGGCAAAAATAATACCAAAATCATGGCCGGTTTAGGGACGGGAAACCCCATGATTGCAGTAAATCGCGCCAATTTCTGGACTTGAAACTTACATATGTAACATATATGTATATCTGTATACTTCGTTTGCGGGTTTGTCTTTCTTGTGGTTTAAGAGTTCCAAGCTGGGACGCAGTTGAACAAGAAGGTTATTAGGTGGCTTGTGAAACATGCGCAACTCCTATGAAACGTGCATAACTTCTATGAAACGTGCATAACTTCTATGAAACGTGCGTAACTTCTATGACAAGTGCATAACTTCTATGAAACGTGCACCTCTATAAAACATTGCAAAGAACTCTTGTGTATTCCTAAAGCCTCATCGTTCTAAAACACTTTAATGAACTCTTGAATGGAGTATTACCCATGTATATATATATATACTATTAATGTATTAAGGATTTGCTTATATATGATGTACAGTTTATAATTGTTCAACGTATGTGCAACATGCGTGCCGCTTGGATCATGCTTTGCTCAACCCAGAACCTGCACCAGGCGCCTCTGGCAATTTGCAGCCCCGCTCCTCCTCCTCGTCACTGCTATCCCGGGCAATGACCGTGTCCTGGCTGACTGGGCTGGGTCCCAAAGGGGAGGCCCTTTTTGGCCTCAGTTTATGGCAACTTTTGGCGTATTTCAAAGGGGGGAAAAGGGCAACTTGAACATACTTTGAAGGGGAACATGATGATAAGCCATTGGATGGAATGATGGAATGATTAAATGATGGAATGATGGAATGACGGAATGATGGAACGGGGGTTCCGATTTTGAGACAACTCCGTTTTCATCTCGTGACATGGGACATGGGAGTGTACATGCAAAGGTCATGAAAGCATCCAATCGGATTGTTCCCCTGTACCCAATTTCTGTCCGTCATCCGGTCATGGGCTGGGACACCATCATCAGACCTCGCGAAGGCACCACGAACAAAGAAGAGTTTTTCTTGTTAGTTGAAAGGATGACCCATGGAAGATACAACCTAAAAATCAACCATAACAACATATGTACACATATTACTTGGTATTCATTTATATAGTTCTATCTAATATATATATATATACTACAACATATTCAAAAAATGATAGCTACAGCATATTCCTGGACTTAATCAACATCGTGGAGCCCAAACAAACCATGACCCATCACCGGGACCCGAGTCCCCAGACGCAGCGCCGGCGCCCCCGTCCTGGGGCTAACAATCTATGGGATATAATGGGGACGATCTATGGGATATATATATATAGTATATATATATATGTATAGAATTTATATAATACTATTATATATAAATATATATATAATACTATGATATACATTATGTTATATATATATATTATAGATAATGATTCGTACAAGAATTTTGGCACTGAAAATCATGGATACCCCCAAATGGCCATATAGAATGCCATTGGATTTGGGGGTACAAGTGATCTTCAAACCAATCCACGCATGTGGGAATACCCGAGATATTGGATATCATCAATCTAATTGAAAAGAATTGGACTATTTTTTTAGAAACAATGTAGAATGGCATACAACTATCAGCCGACTATCAGCAAACACATTTGCAGGGATGTTTACAGTAGCTGGTAAGAGTGGAGCTGGCTTACCCTTGGGGATTCTGAATCAAGACCCGTGTTCCGTAAACCAGTTGGAATCCAAGGGAAGGATATGACCAGCATATCATCCATGGCCCAGTCACGAAGTCATGAAATTCAGACTGCCGCAATAGATACACTTGGAGTTGTCTGAAAAACTAGGGTATCCATATATATATATATATACAACACACACACATCACCTATATATATATATACATATACATACATATTATTATATTATTTCATATTTATTCATATAACTTATGATGGTCAACCTTTGGTCAACGAAAAATTCTCATCTTCTGCTTGTGACGCTTAACGTGCGCACCGCACCTCATCGCTGGAGGAGGTGGATTCCTGGCAGCTATGGGAAAATCCATGGGAACTATATAGAAAAATATGGGAAAACAACTATAAATGAAGGCTTTCATAGAAAAACTCTGGGGAAACCATAGGAAACCCATGGGACATCCCCTAGAAATGGAGATTCGTTGGAAAATCATTGAAAGAACTGAGGGCTTTCCCAGCAAACCATTCTTGATTACCCAAGGGTAATTGGTAGAGTCACCAACTTGAGGCATCTTGACGATGAATGAAAACATGTTAAGGCCATTCAAAACCACACATTTGGAAGTGTCATACATGAATCACCTAAATTCCAGACGATTTTCCTACTTAAAAACTAGACGACGGATGGCCCGAGAGCGTAGAGGAGCAGGGTCTTCTCTTGTTAGTGTGGAGACACAATATTACAAACAATATATTAAAGATGTGGTATAGGCAGTCGAGAAGAGGAGTATCAAGACAAAATTGCAGAAGTGCAAGACAATAGTTTGCATCGCAAACACTTTTACACACAGAAGTTTTTACACACAGACGCTTTTACACACAAAAACTTTTACACACAGAAACTTTTACACACAGAAGCTTTTACACACAGACCCTTTTACACACAGATGCTTGTACACACAAAAGTTTTTACACACAGAAACTTTTACACACAGACGCTTTTACACAGACGCTTTTACACACAAAGTTTTTACCCACAAAAGCTTTTACAGACAGAAGGTTTCACACACAGACGCTTTTACACAGATGTTTTTACACACAGACACTTTTACATACAGACACTTTTACACACAGACACTTTTAACAAAGACCCTTTTACACACAGGAGCTTTTACACACAGAAGCGTTTACACGCAAACGCTTTTACACACAAAATTTTTTACACAGAGAAACTTTTACACATAGACGCTTTGACACACAGACACTTTTACACACAGACACTTTTAACAAAGACCCTTTTACACACAGGAACTTTTACACACAGGAGCGTTTACACGCAAACGCTTTTACACACAAAAACTTCTACACACAGAAGCTTTTACACATAGAAACTTTTACACACAAACGCTTTTACACGCAGACACTTTTACACACAAACACTTTGACACAGACACTTTTACACACAGACGCTTTTACACACAGACGCGTTTGTTTACACACAGACTCAGACGCTTTTACACACAGACACTTTTACACACCAAGGGTTGCGCGGGACAAGTTGAAATCGCCGCAATTCTACATCAGTTTTTGACGATCGAACCTCATTTCGTGCGAAAGGGTTGCGCGGGACAAGTTGAAATCGCAACTTTACCTCAGCTTTTGACGATCGAACCTCATTTCGTGCGAAAGGGTTGCGCCGGACAAGTTGAAATCGCAACTTTACCTCAGTTTTTGGCGATCGAACCTCGTTTCGTGCGAAAGGGTTGCGCCGGACAAGTTGAAATCGCAATTTTGCCTCAGTTTTTGACGATCGAACCTCATTTCGTGCGAAAAGGTTGCGTTTCTTGCCGTCTCGTTGGCACTGCCCCTGCTCCCGCCTTCAAAAGAGAAATAGAAAAGAAGGAGAAAGCAAGAGGGCCAAGAGGGCAAGAGGAGAAGATGTGAGAAGATGTGAGAAGATGTGAGAAGATGTGAAGATGAGAAGATGTGAAGATGAGAAGATGAGGAGAAGATGTGAGGATGAGAAGATGTGAGGATGAGAAGATGTGAAGATGAGAAGATGTGAAGATGAGAAGATGTGAAGATGAGAAGATGAGGAGAAGATGTGAGGATGAGAAGATGTGAGGATGAGAAGATGTGAAGATGAGAAGATGTGAAGATGAGAAGATGTGAAGATGAGAAGATGAGGAGAAGATGTGAGGATGAGAAGATGTGAAGATGAGAAGATGTGAAGATGAGAAGGTGTGAAGATGAGAAGGTGTGAAGATGAGAAGATGTGAAGATGAGAAGATGTGAAGATGAGAAGGTGTGAAGATGAGAAGATGTGAAGATGAGAAGATGTGAAGATGAGAAGATGAGGGATGAGGAGAAGATGTGAGGATAAGAAGATGTGAAGATGAGAAGATGTGAAGATGAGAAGATGTGAAGATGAGAAGATGTTTTGCAGACCCCCACTATTGGAAGAACCCTGCGCTCAGACGCTCTCGGGAAAAAGGCTCTTCTGGAAGCTGAAGGAAATGGCTGGACCATCAAGGATCCAAAGCTCGGTTGGTTGTCTCAGTGATTGCTGTGACAAGTGGGCAGCAGCTGCAACTGATCATGTTGACCAGGTGAAGGTTTCCTAAAATAGGGGTAGTACCCCCAAATCATCCAAGTCATTGGACCATTTTATACCATTTTCAGGTATTTGGAGGTTTCCTAAGTCATGTGGCTACCTCCAAATCATCTAAGTCATTAGACCATGACTTAGTATTGAATCATTGAAACCCATGGTGACGTGGGGATCCCCCATTTTAAGACACCCCCATTTCAGGGATTCTCCAAATCAACATCTGGTGCACCAAGCACCTTTGGTTGTCTCCCAACGGCGCCTCCAAATCAACTGCTCGCGTCCTGAGAAGGGTCTCTCATTTTCTGGCAAACAACCAGGGGGAATTGTTCATGGTTGATATTTGTTGATATTGGATATTTATAATATGTATGTATATATATATAAATATGTGTATATGTTCCAGGTTCGGGGGCCCCCCCTCCCCCCCATGGTCATGGTTCCCCCCTCCCCCCTGTGGATGTGGGAGCTGGGTGGGTCCTGAAGGTAATCTCCCCCGCACGGTCATGGTTCCCCCTCTCCCCCCTGTGGATGTGGTCCCGTAGGTAGTATAGGTAGTCATGGTTCCCCTCCTCTCCCCTGGGAATATATGTACATATGTATATATGTATACATGAATATATGTATATGTATATATGTATATATGTATAAATGTATAAATGTAAATATGTATGTATATATGTGTATATATGTATATATGTATATATGTATATATGTATATGTATATATGTATATATGTATATATGTATATATGTATATATGTCTATATGTATATATATATGTATGTATATATGTATATATGTCTATATGTATATATATATATATATGTATGTATATATGTATATGTGTATATATGTATATATGTAAATATGTATATATGTATATATGTAAAAACATGTATATATGTATATATGTGTATATGTATATGTGTATATATGTATCTATGTATATGTATATGTGTATATATATATATGTATATATATGTATATATGTATATATGTATATATGTCTATATGTATATATATATATATGTATGTATATATGTATATATGTCTATATGTATATATATATGTATGTATATATGTATATGTGTATATATGTATATATGTAAATATGTATATATGTAAAAACATGTATATATGTATATATGTGTATATGTATATGTGTATATATGTATCTATGTATATGTATATGTGTATATATATATGTATATGTATATATGTAAATATGTATATATGTATATATGTAAATATTTATAAATGTATATATGTATATATGTATATATGTATAAAGAGGTAATATAACTATACTCTTTAGTTCCTATATAAGTAGGTTTTGCATCCAAAATGCTGTACATACCATGGAAATTTGAAGTTTTCCATCCAAACTGGTGCAAATAACATGGAAAGATGAGGTTTTGCATCCAAAATGCTGTAAGTACCATGGAAATGAAAGATTCTAGGTCAGGGAGTAGGGGACCATACCATTCGCGGGGGTGGGGGGGGCTACGGGACCGGTGACCGGGATCATATATATATATCTATATATATATACACATTATATTTTTTAGATATTATATTATTGTATTAAATATATCACATTGTTAAATAATTATTATGTATTATCATATTATATATTATTATATTATATTATATTATATTATATAATATTATATTATATTACATTATATTATATTATATTCAATGCAATGATAATAAATGAAGTTATATTAAATTATGTTATTATATATTATTATATATTATGATTTATTATTATATATCATATTATTAAATATTATGAAAATATTAAATGATATTATATATTATTTCAAATTATTATAGATTATTATGTTTTATTAACTATTTTTATGTATTATTAAATATTATTATATAATATTATGTTGTATGGTTATTATTATTTTTTGAACTATTAAAAATTATATAATATAGTATTATATTATATTATATATTATTATAGATTATTCCAAAAATATGATATATTAATATATATTATAAAATATTACTATATATTATTAAAAATAGTTACATATTATTAAACACTATTATATATCATTATATATTATTGAATATATAAAATATTTTTTAAATATTATTATATATTATTATAAATAATGGTATATTATTATATATTTATACATATTATTAAATATTATTATTTATTATTATATATTATTGAAAAATTATGATATAGTATGATATATTATTGTATATTATTATATAATATTATATATTACTATTTATTATGATTTATTATTATTATTATATTATTAAATATTACTATATATATATATTATAAAATATTGCTATTATCATTATTATCATATATATATATATATTACATTGATATTTAGATCCATTTACCCAACAGATTCCAACGGATGCCAATGGATCCCAATGTCTTGGCCTATCATACCCCGCTGAAGAATCTGCCACCAACCAAACATCCACATAAGAGTTTTCCTAAAATAGGGGTACCCCAAAATCATCCACTTTAATCATAGCCTAATTAGAGGTACCCAACAGCTGGATGTTCCGATTTTCCATTGCCATCCAGCTATTGGGGTACCACCGGGTACCACCTTTTTAGGACATTTCCATAAGGTCAACTGCTTCACATCTTCGGTAGCCAACTCAGTGTTGCGCTTTTTTGCTGTCGTCATCGGGACTGACCTGCCAACCAGATCCAAGGAATGAAGTAGTGCATGCAGGTGACCCATCAGATACCCAACACCTGGATTCCCCATAATATCACATCAACGAAAAACAAATGAAGGTCACCTTTGAAGTGGGTTTCACCATTCTTTCTGCTGGTGATGTTGAACACCCCCCGCCAGACATGTCTTTGATTCTTTGGGGAACCGCTGGAACCAGAACACTCTGTGCACGCCTGGGGCAGCCCAAGATGCTCTCCAAACCGCTCACCACCAAGCAGTACAGAAGCCCGGCGCCTGGTCAGGCAGTCAGGATTAGGATCATTAGCATCCGCACGTGGCTGGCCGGGACCTGTACCCTCAATATGCACCATGTTCTCTGGATCTTCCAATGGATTCCCCTCAATTCCCCATGGATTCGGCACCTACGGGTGGTACCAGCGACATTATGCTCAGGGTCTCCAGGCTGGGGTACCTGAGTAGCCCCACCTGCTGGGCACGGGCTGTTGGATGATCATTTTGTACGGCAATTTGAATAGAGACCCGATCCATTGTTGATGGACATTGTTGATAATTATTGATGAATCTAGTTGAATGTGCCAACAATGATGTCAACCCATCTGATATTTGCAGGAACAGGTTAGTCAACAAACGCATCCACAACATAGACAGACCCGACCTGAAATCTGAACAGACCCTCCGGGGCACGCCGAGTAGATGACATTCAGCAGGTGCAGCTTGTGTGTCACGATGGCAAACCACACAGCCAAGCAGAAGATGGAAATCAAAAAGTTTACACCGATGACCTGAGCCGGGACAAGCAGGCGATTGAAATAACCAATTGGTTGAACAGAAAACGAAAGCATCATCGAAATAAAGTGTGAAAAAGCATTCAAGGAATATCCGTCACTGCATGGTTTTCGCATTGAGTTTTATGGATTTTTCATGATTTTGGTAGCTCGTTGTGGGGATGTCAAAGGGGGCAAATGCTTCATGGGGGCTTAGCGGCTTAGCGGCTTAGCATCCTCAAAGCGCTAAGCATCCTGAGTGGTCAGTTGATTACCGCAGCTAATTGTTATTTGGAATCATCGTCTTAGGTAGGATTGGGACGAAACAATGTTGGAAGCCACACATACCACCGGCCCTTTGAAACTCCAGACACGTTCTTTCGTGTGTGTGTGTGTAACATCTAAATAGATGTAAAACTTCTCCCTTTTTCTTCCTTCTTTCCTCTCCCCTTTTAATAACGCAGGGGGGTCACCGGGGTCCCGGGGGGGTCGGTGACCAACGAAGACACCCCCCCAGGACCCTTGTAAACGTACCTGCGAACTTAGGTTTATCACATCTTACTTAAAGTAACTTACTGAAATGGCTGGGGCTAAGCCTAGTACCCCATACACGTCAGCTGTATCACCGGCGCACTCTGGATTCCTTTTTATGTCTCATCTAATTTGCATGTTTACAGGACTCAGTTCCTGATGGATCTCTTAAAAGATCCAATCTTGTCAGTGTAATACCTATGGTGACTCCGACAAGGTGCCATAGGGCCACTTGAGGCAACCCCTTTGCGGTCACTGTTGACCAATTTGACTACCGAATTTACACATTTTAACTTGGTAATTCGTTTAAGTAAAGGGTAACAGTTGGCCTTTCTGTTATGCACCATTTTTGGAGATTCTCGCTGCTGCTGCTGTCCCAGTGAATCCTGGTTACTGCACTTCCTCGATAGTGAAGCCGTGCTGAACAGCCAGAAACTTCCTTTCCACGGCAGCTTCAGTGTTTGAGACGACTCACAACAGCAAAGGTAGGCACACGCTTTCCAGGTGTGGTCTTTTTTCTTTTGATGGTTTTCTGGTGAGGTTGAACATATCGTGCACCTAATTCGTTGGAACTTGTACAGCTGTTTATGCCATTGCGGCACGACTTGACCACGGTCCCGAAGGGGAGTAACGCACGACATTTTGGATAGGCGGAACTGAGTCCTTTTTTAGGTTAATTGTTTTGGTTGTTTTACTCTTGTCACCAACTAGTCCCCCATTTGGTCCCTAATTACTTTTTTCCCCCTGTGCTTCTCCGTAATGTGTTGTGGGGTTTAGGTGTGTGCTCTGTTTTTTGTCAGGTCCGTTTCGCCGCGTAGGTTGGTTCTGGAGGTCCGTTCGTTCCCTCCCCCCCATGTGCTGTTTTGGCCTTTTGCCCGTCGTCTGTGTCCGCTTTTTTCTTCCTTTTGCCTTTCAGGGTTGACCCGGCTCCAACCGGGTGTGTGTGTGACATCTAAATAGATGTAAATTTCTCCCTTTTTCTTCCTTCTTTCCTCTCCCCTTTTAATAACGCAGGGGGTCACCGGGGTCCCGGGGGGGTCGGTGACCAACGAAGACACCCCCCCAGGACCCTTGTAAACGTACCTGCGAACTTAGGTTTATCACATCTTACTTAAAGTAACTTACTGAAATGGCTGGGGCTAAGCCTAGTACCCCATACACGTCAGCTGTATCACCGGCGCACTCTGGATTCCTTTTTATGTCTCATCTAATTTGCATGTTTACAGGACTCAGTTCCTGATGGATCTCTTAAAAGATCCAATCTTGTCTAGTGTGTGTGCGCGTGCATGTTCCCATTAACGTGAGGCGCCACTCAAACGGGGTTCCCAAAGCCCTAAGCGAAGGAATCTACACCAAGCAGAGTAAATGGCTGAGCTTTAACAAAATCATACAAAATCTGTACAAAATCCACTTGCGAGAAAGATCGCAAGTAGTGTATGCAAAGATATGCCAAACAAATTCCATTCTAAATCCTATTCAATGTTCAGACATTTGCAAATTAATCATTACAATTTGTACCCATCATGTCACCACGACAAGCGCATCTGCCCAGCAGGACATATGGGTCTCCCAGCCGATTCTCGGAAACCTTTGGAGGCCTTGAGCTGAGTCCTGTGCCGGATGTTTCACTTGGGCCTGGCCCACAATACGTGGATAATATTCAGCCAGAACCAAGATAATGTAATGGGATTAAATATAATCATGGAATATTACACAATCTTAATCCAGATAAGTGGAATATGATAATCACTTGAAGATAGTCAGATTGTACAATGGGATTATAATGGAACAAATCTATCAACTATATAATTATAATAATTCATCAAGCTTGACAATGATCACATTTTGGGATGTTCCCTTACACGTTTTCAATCATCATTTCCAAGGTGAAAACCAACAGTTTTTGTGAATAGCTTCCCCTTTTTTAACCATCATTTATGCGATTTATGGTGAGTTCGTCATGGGTTTATAACTTATGACTTGCCCAAATCAATTGGGGATATCTCGAAATTGGGTACCCCGAAATCCAATTGATTGATCATACTTTACTCCATTGGTTCACAAATTGGTTCACAACTATATAAATGGAGAATAGACCTTCAATTCACAGGTGAACAAATTTCTTAGAACACTGTGGTGCAATGTGATGGTGTTTTATTTTTGTCGGGGATTATTCTTGGGGGCGGGTAACTTGGGTTGAGCACCAGCATTCTTGCGCTGATTCTCACTGATTGTTGATCACTCGTGCTGAGGCATGGGCTTCTGGTAGTTGTCGACCCACCATTTACCTCGTTGGCGAGGATGGGATATTCTCAACCCGGCCTACTTAGAATTTCGTAAACACCTCTGGTGAAACTCATTGACAGCTGAACGAAGCCTGGCAGAAACAACACGTAAATATATCATTCTCACCATCATGATGTCGACCAGTTGGAAGCAATGTGTACCCATGGTCGTATCTATTTTCCAAGATTTCGGAACGACCAAGTCCAACGGTTAAAAACACAATTTTCCTCACCAACATTGCATCTTCTGATGTACGAGTCCTCAACCCATTTCCGCGCAAGCTCAATAATCTCAACATACACCATCCTTCTACTGGTTCTTTTAATGTTCTTTAATATGTTGTTACATAAGTTATATCTCATGACGATTTTATTCCTATGATATTCCATTGTATTGAGATATCCCATTATAAATTGGATATTATCCCATTGCAATGGGAATACCGTATTTTATCCCATTCCATTATGATATTCCCATGATATTCCCCAAAACTCCGCGGAACCAATGGCTGAGCATGGCACCGCTGTCTTCCAGGAAGAAGCCAACCCAGGCCCTGGGGCCAATGTTTTATGGAAATCACCACGGGACACCATAGGACACCCACACAGCTGAGAAAAATCATGGTTCTACCATCAAAATCCATCAAAATCATATACACTATGTTAATTATTAATTACATGTTATAAACATGAACAAACTGTATTCGAACTCTTCAAAATCTTCGTAGATGTTTAATGCTTACCCGTGAAACATGACCAGAAAAAACACCAGTTTCAGGGCCCATGGTAAACACAAGGTGCATTTTCATCCCCTAGAACACATTGCTCAGATATTCGCCAGGGATAGGTTCAATATGGTTCAATGAATCTCTTGTAATTCACGTCTGCAGTTTTTGTTTCACATATATAAATCAAGCATCATAAATCCCATTTGGGGTGTTCCATTGTCATGGGGGTACCCCTTTTTTAGTTCGCTGGTTTATAATTTGTAATTTATAAATGTCTATTTCATGGATAAACCATGATAAACCAATCTATTCCAATGGATGATGGCCATGGGGTACCCCCATGACTTGGGAAACCTCCCCCTGCGTCGCCGAGGCCGAAGAAACCAACGCTGTCCGCCTCATATCTCCCTTGACCTCGTCCAGGTCGAACTGGTACCTGAGATCCCAACCCAAAAAAAAACTGGTGGATCGTCAATCATTTGTAAATAATAACGTAAACAATGTGTAATTTTTTCCCAACATCACTTGTGTGGGGTTCTTGTTTTTCGCTTTGCGCCCGCCGCTCCTTCCGCTCCCGCTCCGGCTCCCGCTCCGCGCCGCCTGTCACACCTCACTCATCACAGCACTACTCATGACACCACTTGACACCGCAACTCATCACACCACTTGTCACGGCACAACTCATCACACAGCACTCATCACAGCACAGCAGTTGGCTTTCGTGTAGCACAGCACAACTCATCACACCACTTGACACCACAACTCATCACACCACTTGTCACAGCACACAGCAGTCATCCCAGCGCAGCAGTTGGCTTTCGTGTGGCAGGCGCAGTACACAGAGCCTTCGTCGTGTGGCAGGCTGCTGCGCGTGGTCACCGCTGGCCCGCGGCTGGCTGTCGTATGGCAGGCGCAGTACACACACCCTCCTGGAGGAGCTGCTGCGCGCGTGGCCCCCGCTGGGCCGCGGCTGGCTGTCGTGTGGCAGGCGCAAGTATACACGGAGCCTCCTGCAGGAGCTGGTGCGCGCGTGGCCGCGGCTGGCCGCGCGCTGGCCCGCGGCTGGCTGTCGTGTGGCAGGCGCAGTTCACAGAGTCCCTGCAGGAGCTGCTGCGCGCGTGGCCGCCGCTGGCCCGCGGCTGGCTTTCGTGTGGCAGGCAGTACACAGAGCGTCCTCGAGCTGCTGCTCACGGCCGCCGCTGGCCCGCGGCTGGCTGTCGTGTGGCAGGCGCAGTACACAGAGTCTCCTGGAAGAGCTGCTGCGCGCGGCCGCCGCTGGGCCGCGGCTGGCTGTCGTGTGGCAGGCGCAGTACACAGAGCCTTCTGGAGGAGCTGGTGCGCGCGTGGCCGCCGCTGGCCCGCGTTCTGTGTGTAAACGTCGTTCGGGGTAGCGGTGACAGGCGGAGATGCGAAGAGCACAGCAACGGTCACCTCATATTACATCACATCAGACACAAATCACACATCAGATACGCACACATATCACACACGCATCTTTCACACACCATCTTTCACACACCACTTTGTCACACACCATCTTTCACACAACTTTTTCACACGCCATCTTTCACACACAACTTTGTCAAACACCATCTTTCACACACCATCTATGACACCACATCTTTGACACACACCATCTTTCACACACCGTCACAGACCATCTTTCACACACCACTTTGTCACACACCATCTTTGACACACCATCTTTCACACACAACTTTGTCACACACCATCTTTCACCACACCATCTTTGCCACACACCATCTTTCACCACACCATCTTTCACACACACACAACTTTGTCACACACCATCTTTCCTCCACCTCCTCCTTTGTCTTTCCTTCCTTCCCCGTCCCCGCTACAACATGTCTTGCTCATTACTGGAAGAAGTTGACTTGTGGGGCTATCTGGTCCTTTGATTCCATTCTGCCGGCCTGAGTCTATGCTCGTGCTGTCTGGCTTTCTGAATTCAAGCTACTTGTTTTTGTTCACGGCATTAACTTGGCTCCTGAAGCTTAAGCACAACTTTGGAGCCTTCTGCCTCGAGACCAATCAATTTCTTGCAATATGGAACTAAGAGCACTTGAGCGAATTATTCGAACAGGGGCAATGCCGCTGAACAAACTGGAATCCCTCAGTTCAACTCCACTTCCCTGGCGTTGCGAAGAGACTGTTCTTCTTGCATCAATCTCTGCCGCCTGAGGAAGAAAGCAGCAGCACCACCAATCAGGGCCAAGATGAGCAAAATCAAAATCACGGTCCCAGCACCACCTCCTCCAGCTGGTGCCTCCTTCGGCTTGGGCGCCGGTGTTGGTGCTGGAGTTGGTGCTGGAGTTGGTGCTGGAGTTGGTGCTGGAGTTGGAGCTGGAGTTGGAGCCGGAGTTGGAGCCGGAGTTGGTTCTGGGGTTGGTGTGGTGGGTGTCGGCGGTTGCACCACATGAATGGGTGTCCACCCCTTCAACACCGGAGGGTCTTCGGGGACCCGGGGCTCACGAGTTCTGCTCATGCCAAAACACTCCCCTGAGAGGAACCTGGTCTCTGCACTGCATTCCTGATATGGGAGATCTTTGTGGTCATGGTACTGGAATTTGGCATGTACGATCTCGCGGGTTTTGCCATCAGTGTAGTTGCAAACAAGGCAACCCTGAAATATGCGTCACCCCTGAAATTGTCGTCACCAACACCATGTTTTGATTTTATTAGCATATCCCCACTGCATGCGTTTGGAAATGTTTCCACGGGTGCATCTCAGCTCGAACTCGGGTATTTCGCGGATATCAGGGTCAAGTCTGAAATCGGCCTTGTCAGGATCTGGCGGAGCAATACCCACCCACTTGTCTTTAGGGTGAATGCTCATGGGACTCAGCGCGTAAAGCGCTCTCTGGGGCAAGTTTCCTGTCGACGTTGAATCAGGCAAGATGCAATCGAATCTGGATGGGATGAACCGCACCTGACAACCAACGGCAGCGTTCGTCGCCACAGTGCTCAGCATCAGGAAGGACCACAGCATGACTTCCACTTTCGGATGGGATGGTGACACCTTGAGAATCCTTGAGATGGAACGCGCTTGAGTACGGAATATGTAATTAAACATATCAAAAAAAATATATATATATAATAAATATATAATCTATAATATATAATTAATATAATATATATAATATCATACTATATATTGGATTGTGTCAGCTGATATCAATTCATAGTCTTCCAATATCTTCCAAGATTCTCCAAATCATGGGCCATCCTCATGGGATTGATCACCCACCGGGTCTGATCTGAGCGCCCACACGGGTTGAAGACAAAGGGTCCGTACAGCCACGAGACAATGGTGATCCTGACGATGGTGCCATCCACACGTTCGTGAAGAAATTTCAACCAAGGAATCCAAGGAACAAGAAAAACTTTGACAAAACACTGGTGAATCAAGACTTGTTTTTGATGTTTTTGTTCAGTATTCCTTTCTTTTAATTCAAGGACGAAGGAACGAAGGAACAACATGGAACATGGATGAACACGGGTCCCGATGGCCAGCCACGTGAAGCCCAAGCTGTTGGAGATGCCCGCGTCCGAAACACCGCCCAGCAAGAGCCTTGGGAAATCTTGGGACATGTTGAGGGAAAAAAGGAGAAAGGGTACAGTAAGGTACAATATACATCAATATACATCATTGTTGCCACTGAAACATTGCTATTTTGGGGTAAACATCTTTGGACAAAGCCTGTGACACTTGAATTGATGTGTGGATGGGCCCACAGGGCTACAAGGGCCAATACCTTTAAGTCACACAATGCAAAATGCAAACTGTTGCTGAGTAGAATGACACTTGAAAAAATCCCGAGATTACCGCCCTGGACATCACCTTCGGGAATTCTCTCTTGGAGTGGCTAAATTCAATTTCATTGTTTTCCGTGAGAAGAAGTGATGTCTAACCCACCCAAGATACTGGAACATGTACAGGTTTGTATGAAAATGGGGTAAGTACCTCAAATCCTATGGTCTATTATGATGGTTCCCCCTGGGGCACCATTTGCCGACAAATTGCAACAAGGACCATGGAAAAGAGTCCTAGTCGAGAACCCCACACAGCGATGCAGTTGAGCACGAGCCGCATGCCATCGTAGTATGCATACCTGCAGAACAAACCATGGCACCAAACAAAACATGGGTCCGAAAATGGGTTACGTATTTGGTGATTCACCTCAAACTTGTGGGCAAAATCATCCCAGGTAATTGACCCTACTCCTACTGAAAAAAAATGGAGTGATTTATAAACCTAACCACAGCAATTCAAACTCTGACTTACTAACCCCTTCCTAACTGGGAACCAAAAAGTATGTACCTCTGCCCCAAATTGCAATCTTCGAACGGATTTAGTGATAGGAGTCGACTAAACAGCAGGTTTGGTCCGGGAGATCATGGGAGGATAGAATCATGTTGCTGAAAGAAATAAACCGATATACAAAAACACGATAAAAAACGCAACAGATCAAATATGGATTTGACATGATTTAAATAGTCCGGGATACCGGCAAAACTGGTAGTTTCAATGATGCCAACGCAAAAAGGTCACGAGAATTGTTCGAGAATTACGAGTCAATGGGGTGATTGCTGAGATGTACTCAGTTGCGAGGTTTTCCAACATCTGCTATCCAGCACCATCTGTCGGATCGAACACTTTGCGCACGTGGCGAAGTCCAGGTACAAGCCGCCCACCTGGCATGGCCCCAGGAATTTGGTGGGTTCAGTGACCTGAATTCTCTCGGTCAAATTCGGTGTGAAATCGTGAAATTCCTACCATTGTTGGAGATTAAACTGCCAACAACTATATGCCCGTTTTGAACCCTTGCTTGTTTGAAATCCAATTTTTGATGGTTATACAAATCCCAGTTCTTATGGTATGCTTCCCCACTGACCAAACCAAATTTAAGTAAATATTTAAGGTTATGTATACCAGTAGTACCGCACAAGGCGGTGGCGGAAGTTTCAAAAATAGGAAACCTAAAGGAGAGATTGGTTGTTGTGAATCACGGATGGCAGAGCGAAGCCACTGATGGATCGAAAGGTGATTGATGTCTCCTCTCTTTCTCTCTCTTTTTCTCTCTTTCTCTGATAATCTACCTACCTACCTACCTACCTACCGATCTATCTATCTATCTATCTATCTGTCTATCTATCTATCTATCTTATCTTATCTTATCTTACCTTATCTATCTTATCTTATCTTATCCTATCCTATCTATCTATCTATCTATATCTCTCTCTCATCTGTCTATCTATCTATCTATCTACCTATCTATCTATCTATCTATCTGTCTACCTATCTATCTATCTATCCATCCATCCATTCTATCTATCTACCTATCTGTCTATCTAGCTACCTATCTATCTATCAATTCTATCTATTCTATCTATTCTATCTATCTATCTATCCATCTATCTATCTATCTATCTATCAATTCTATCTATTCTATCTATTCTATCTATTCTATCTATTCTATCTATCTATCTATCTATCTAACTATCTGTCTATCTATCTATCCCTCTATCTATATCTCTTTCTATCTGTCTGTCTATCCATCTACCTGTCTATCTGCAGGATTGAAAACCAAGATATTCTGCGAGACTTCTTCATTTTTCAAAGTTGACAACATCAAAAACGAAGCAATTCTGCGAGACTTCCTCAATGTTTGAACTTGACAACGTCAAAAACGAAGCGATTCTGCGAGACTTCTTTCAAAAATGGTAATTGAGTGCTTAGCTGACAGCCTCGTACCAATGCGTTTTGCGATTTTTCCATCCCGTCTCTCTAAGTATTGCGCACACCACGAAAAAATGACGCCAGGTCATGCGAAGTGCTGCGCCTGTCACAGAAAAAGTCACCTCAGGAAATCTGAAGATCTGATGCTCCAAAATGCAACCCTTCTCAGGAAATCAGCGCCCGGACCTCCTAACAGCTCTGATGAAGATGTCTTTTGTACTGCGCCTGCCACGGAAAATGCATCTTTGCAGATCCTCTTCAAATGTCCCACGCCTGCCATCGTTTTTGGGAATGCTACAAAACCTTCACGTTTTGATCACTTTTGACAAGGTCCACAATCCCTTGCGCCTGCCACGCGGAACGACATCTGAACGTCCAAAAGTGGTCCGAACCTGGTGTGTTTTATACATTTTGACTTCGAAATTTGCTTCGCGCCACAACAAACAGCGTGCACTTTTTCGACATCACAACTTCCAAAAGTGATCCGAACGTGAGGTGCTTTGTACATTTTGACTTCGAAATGTGCTTCGCGCCGCAACGGCGTGCACTTTTTCGACATCGCAACTTCCAAGTGTGGTCCGAACCTGGTGTGCTTTGTACATATTGACTTCGAAATGTGCTTCGCGCCACAACGGCGTACACATTTTCGACATCTCAACTTCCAAAAGTGGTCCGAACCTGGTGTTTTGTACATTTTGACTTCGAAATGTGCTTCGCGCCGAAACGGCGCGCACTTTTTCGACATCACAACTTCTAAAAATGCTCCGAAGCTGAGGTGTTTTGTACATTTTGACTTCGAAATGTGCTTCGCGCCACTATCTATCTATCTACCTATCTATCTGTCTATCTATTTATCTATCTATGTATCTAATCTATCTATCTATCTGTCTATCTATCTATCTATCTACCTATCTATCTATCTATCTATCTAATCTATCTATCTATCTATCTATCTAATCTAATCTAATCTAATCTAATCTATCTATCTATCTAATCTATCTATCTAATCTATCTATCTATCTATCTAATCTATCTATCTATCTATCTATCTATCTATCTATCTATCTATATCTCTCTCTCATCTGTCTATCTAATCTATCTAATCTATCTAATCTATCTATCTATCTATCTATCAATCAATCAATCAATCAATCAATTCTATCTATTCTATCTATCTATCTATCTATCTAATGTATCTATCTATATTCCTATCTATCTATCTATCTATATCTCTCTCTCATCTGTCTATCTAATCTATCTAATCTATCTAATCTATCTATCTATCTATCTATCAATCAATCAATCAATCAATTCTATCTGTTCTATCTATCTATCTATCTAATGTATCTATCTATCTATCTATCTATATTCCTATCTATCTATCTATCAATTCTATCTATTCTATCTATTCTATCTATCTATCTATCCATCCATCTATCTATCTATCTATCTATCAATTCTATCTATTCTATCTATTCTATCTATTCTATCTATCTATCTATCTATCCATCTATCTATCTATCTATCTAACTATCTGTCTATCTATCTATCTATCTATCTATTCCTATCTATCTATCTATCTATTCCTATCTATTCCTATCTATTCCTATCTATTCCTGTCTATTCCTATCTATTCCTATCTATTCCTATCTATTCCTATCTATTCCTATCTATTCCTATCTATTCCTATCTGTTCCTATCTATTCCTAGCTATTCCTATCTATTCCTATCTATTCCTATCTATTCCTATCTATTCCTATCTATTTCTATCTATTTCTATCTATTTCTATCTATTTCTATCTATCTCTATCTATCTATCTATCTATCTATCTAATCTATCTATCTATATTCCTATCTATCTATATTCCTATCTATCTGTATTCCTATCTATCTATATTCCTATCTATCTATTCCTATCTATCTATTCCTATGTATCTATTTCTATCTATCTATTCCTATCGATCCATTCCTATCTATCTATTCCTATCTATCTATTCCTGTCTATCTATTCCTATCTATCTATTCCTACCTATCTATTCCTATCTATCTATTCATATCTATCTATTCCTATCTATCTATTCCTATCTTTCTATTCCTATCTTTCTGCTCCTATCTATCTATTTCTATCTTTCTATTTCTATCTATCTATTCCTATCTATGTACTCCTATCTATTCCTATCTTTTCCTATCTGCTCCTACCTAATCCTATGTCTATCTATCTATCTAGCTGTCTATCTGTGTATCTATCTATCTATCTATCTAGCTGTCTATCTGTGTATCTATCTGTCTATCTGTCTATCTATCTATCTACCTACCTGTCTATCTAGCCTATCTGTCTGTCTACCTGTCTTTCTATCTATCTATCTGACTATCTATCTGTCTAACAGAGATGTTAAGAGGTCAGGGAGCAGATTTTCTGAGAGCGGTTGCATTTTGGAGCATCAGATCTTCAGATTTCCTGAGGTGACTTTTTCTGTGACAGGCGCAGCACTTCGCATGACCTGGCGTCATTTTTTCGTGGTGAGCGCAATACTTAGAGAGACGGGATGGAAAAATCGCAAAACGCATTGGTACGAGGCTGTCAGCTAAGCACTCAATTACCATTTTTGAAAGAAGTCTCGCAGAAATGCTTTGTTTTTGATGTTGTCAACTTCAAAAATTCAGGCAGTCTCGCAGAATTGCTTCGTCTTTGATGTTGTCAAGTTCTAAGTTACTTTGCTTCGAGTGATCCCCACCATGACATTTATACGTTTTGTTACTGGCAAATCTTCTGGCATTCTATCTGACATATCTTCTGGCATTCGATCTGGCATATCTTCTGGCATATCTTCTGGCATTTTATCTGGCATATCTTCTGGCATTCTATCTGGCAAATCTTCTGGCATTCTACCTGGCATATCTTCTGGCATTTTATCTGGCATATCTTCTGGCATTCTATCTGGCAAATCTTCTGGCATTCTACCTGGCATATCTTCTGGCACTTTATCTGGCATACCTTCTGGCACTCTATCTGGCATATCTTCTGGCATATCTTCTGACATTCTATCTGGCATTCTATCTGGCAAATCTTCTGGCGTTCTATCTGGCAAACATTCTGGCACTTTATCTGGCATACCTTCTGGCATTCTATCTGGCATACCTTCTGGCATTCTATCTGGCATATCTTCTGGCATTCTATCTGGCATATCTTCTGGCATTTTATCTGGCATATCTTCTGGCATTCTATCTGACATTCTATCTGGCGTTCTATCTGGCATATCTTCTGGCATTCTATCTTGCCGTTGAGGTACAGCGGTGCCCACTGAGCTCAGGTTGAGGTCCAGCGGTGCCCACTGAGCTCGGACGGTCCCAGGGTGAGGTCCAGCGGTGCCCACTGGGATCGGAAGGTCCCTGGTTGAGGTCCAGTGCGCTCGGAACCTGGCGGTTGAGGTCCAGCCGTGCGCACTCAGATCGGAAGCCGGCAGTTGAGGTCCAGCAGTGCCCACTGCGCGCGGAAGTTGGCGAAGAGATTGGCGAAGAGTTGGCAAGCCGGAAGTGGACGCGGGAGTTGATGCAGACATGGTCGAGGAGAAACTGGAGGAGGAGAAGGAGGATGAGGAGAACAGCTCTTATAAAATCTAACAACCCTCACCTGGCAGGTGGGGAAAAATAGGAAGTCTCGCAGAATAGCTTCGTTTTCAAATTTGCAGATAGACAGAAAAATAGATAGTTGGATAAATCGATAGTTAGATAGATAGATAGATAGGTAGATAGAAAGACAAATAGATAGTCAGATAAGCCGGTCACGCGAAATGCATCTTTGCAGATCCCCTTCAAACGTCCTACGCCTGCCATCGTTTTTGAAAGCGCTACACAACCCACGTTTGACTCACTTTTGACAAGGTCCAGAATCCCGCACGCTTGCCGCACAAAACGACGCTTGAACGTGCAAAAGTGGTCCGAACATGTGGTGTTTTAGCATTTTGACTTCGACATGTGCTTGCTGCCACAACAGCGTGCGCTTTTCCAACAGCTCAACTTCCAAAAGTGCTCCGACAATGGTGTTATTTGAGCAATCCGGTGCTTCGCGCCACAACTCCATGCACTTTTTGTACATCTCAACTGCCAAAAGTGCTCCGGACATGTTGTGTTTTTAGCATTTTGACTTCAAAATGTGCTTTGCACCACAATGGCGTGCACTTTTTCGATATTTCAACTTCCAAAAGTGCTCCGAGCATGGTGTGCTTTGCGCGTTTTGACTTGGAAATCGTTGTTCGCGCCACAACGGTGTGCACTTTTTCGACATCACAACTTCCACAAGTGCTCCGGCGTTGGTGTGTTTTTAGCATTTTGCCCTCAAATTTTGCTTCTGGCCACAACAGCGTGCAATTTTTGATCTCTCATCTCCCCAGATGGCTCCGCACCCGTCGCTTCAGCAAGGCTACTTTTCGCCCGTCCGGAGCCACAAAACAATGGAAAAACACAGCGTCACAACTTTTCTACCTTTTTGCGCGCGTTGATCTTCTTTCTTCTGACTCTTTCTCTTCTCCAACTTCTTCTTCTGACTCTTTCTCTTCTCTGCCTCTGTCCACCCCTGCTGCTTCATCTGAACTTTGACTTCTAAATTTCCTTCGATCATCTATATATTACTTACCCAACACTAAATCCCAATGAAACCGAACATATATATATGTATATATAAATATATGTTTCTTCATTAAACAGTGCCATTCATCGCGATCTTTTCATGGTGCCTTGGTCAACTTCGTCGTTCCCGGCTCAGTCTCGCCGATGAAGGGACGGCGGTAGGTGGGCAAGCCTCGACCGGTGGCCACGTATTTGGCACCTGGCAAGCAACGCGGGGATGGGATCATTACCCTCAAGTAGACATACAAGAAGCTACGGAAATCCATCGGTTTCCCTCATTAAAACGCTTTACGCATGATAGATTTTCGATATCTATGTTAGTTGCTACATACCCAGGAGTGTTATTGTTGTGCTTACTGGGATGAACCGGCGGTTTGCTTAAGTTAGTATTGGGTATAAGTATGTTTATAAGTATGTTTATAAGTATGGTATAAGTATGGTATAACATAAGTATAATTGTTGTAACTTTGGTAAAGGTTAGCCTTCCTGAAGGCTAAGTCCTACATAGTTTATAAAAGGTTAACTATACTTATGGCTCCTGAGTTAACTGGTTAGCACTAGTTATATAAAATGTTAAGGCTGTAGTTAGCAACATTTGCTAAGTACTTAGCATGTAAAAAAACAATGCATTTTTTGACAAGACCTTGGAGCCATGGTGTTTTTTTGGTTTTTTAAATTGATTCCCAAATGCTTGGCCATTGCATGCACTTGTCAAGCCACTTGGTTTTTTCATGTTTGCGCACCAACACTTTAATTTGAAATTTGTAGAATTTCAAGTTTCAAGCCTGAGATTGGCTTATGAGTCATGGTGGAAATTTTGATGTTCAATGTGGTATGCAAACTGCCAAATCCATTTGTACCTTGTGTGACATGTTTTGGTTTGTGGTTGGTGTAGACTTGGCATATGCATATTCCAAAAAACTCAAGCCTTTTGAGGCTTATCTCTTGTTGTGTATCAACATGCCTACCTACTGCTGCAGGTATTTAGGATTGCATGCAGCCATTTGCAATCTCCATAAGCTTTGAAACAATGGGAACCCAAAGGGGCAATTTGAGATTTGAGCCCATGGATAGTGAAGATGAATCCAGGGAGTTCAGTGCCCAGAGCCACCCCCATGGTTCCTACATCCAATGCGCTGCTCAAGATTGTCCTGGGTGGCTTTGGTGTTGGAAGCTTCCATGGAGCTACAGGTGCCAAAGGTGTGGTAGAAGGTGGACAGCCAGCTTTGTGAGCAATAGCTATTCATACTGGCTGGAAAGGCCTGCAGGAGCTGGAAGTTAGATAGTGGATCTGCAACAATGGTAGGTCATGGCTCAAAGTGTAAAGGTGCTGATGATATGTCTGAATATTTTTTTGAACATGCCTGGGGTGACAAAAAATTGCTTGCAGAGTGGGTGTGCATTTGAAGTCTGGCATCATTGTGTTTTTACAGATGAGCTTTCAAGCCAAGCAGGCTTTTGAACATGTTTCTATACCCTCACTGCATGTGTGCTTCACTTTTAGGTTTGCCAATGCCATGTATTTGCAAGATTCTGAATACAAGACATGCTACATGTGTAGGGTGTACCCATGCATATCTTCATATAGTTGTCTACAAGCACATGATCAAGTCCTTGGGCTTTTGGGTTGCAATCTTGAAATTGTTAGGGGCTGCCATGTGGAGCTGGGGCTGCAAACTCTTACATTTGAAATGTGACATCTTCAAGCCCATGGGCTTATGTTGTTGCCAGTTGCTAGCATTGTTTGCTTTGCTTTGTTGCAACTGTCAGCTGATTATATAGCAAGCTTGAAGATCAAAGTGTATGCAACTTTTTTGGTTTGTCGCCATGGCAAATATCTCCTTAGAGGTTTGTGGAAAAGTGGATGAAGTCCTGAGTTCCTCCATGGGTGTGATGAGCCAGTGGAGTGAGATCCAGCAGATTTTGCTGGATTCAGGGCTGGCTTACCAGCAGAAGTGCACCCCTGATTTGTTCCTTTGTCATCCCTTGAATAGAGGTGGCACTGGAATCAACCCTTTCAGCATGCACAGAAAGGGGTCCACCATCATTGCTGCAGGTGCAGACATGCAGCAGTTGGGTGGAAGTGTTGCCATTGAAATTTCCACTGATGAGGGCACAAGGAAATCCCAAATTGAGTTCAACAAGAAAATGGTTGTTGACTCAGAGAATTTGATGGCCATGCCAACAGGCAAAGAGAGGTACCTCACTTGTGCCAAGGGCCACACCACTCAATTTTGCAAGGCAATTGTTGCTTGCTGCAAGACCTCAGAGTCCAGCATTGCTGGGCCCAATGGTCACTTGGGCAGCCATTTGCTGAAGGGCAAGGAGTTGGCCAAAATGATCCATGAAGGCTGGCAGTGGACTATTGTCAAGAATGTGGTTGCTGAGAAGTGGCCAAGCCTTCCTTCAATCATTGAAAGTGCTGGAAACAGCTCCAACTCAACATATGAACTGCAAAATGAGGTGCAGCTCATGTCCAGCATTGTGCTGTCCCAGAAAGGCAAGTTGCCAGGTGAGATCATGTATACCAAGAGTGCTGTTGATCTCTGCCATGGAGGTGCACTTCAAGGATATGCAAAGCATGTTGGCAAATTTGTTCAGCTCTATGGAGGCAAGGTTGTTTCGAATTCAAGCAAGAAAGAGGGACTGTGAACCCCAGAAAATCATTATTTTTTTAGTGCCAATACATGTCAAATTATATGTTGCCCAATCCCTGCAGGTGGGCAAGAAGGTCCCATGATCAATTTCTTGGCTTACATGTCCAAACAATTTGGTGGCAACCCCATTCTTGGAGAAGAATTTATGACCACAATTGTTGACACCCAGTTTTCCAAGACCACTTTGCACCCCATGGTCAAGCTTGCATTGGTGGTGGCCAACTGCACTACTGACAAGGTGGTTGACTCAGTGGCCAAGCTCATCACCAAAACAGATGTTGCTGGCTTGAAACAGAAGAAGTATGAAACCAAGATCAATGAGGTAGAGGCTTCTTTGACTAAGTTTTGGGACAAGGTCAACAAAACCCAGTTGGACCAGGCTGTGATCTACAAGTTGTTTGGCAGGAGCTGTTGTAGATATGCACTCCATCTATGCAACAAAGAGAAACAGAGCAAGGATGGCAAAGAAAAAACAATGGATGAATTAGAAATGCTTCAGAGTGATGACTTAGCACAGGCAACAAGTGCAGGTGCTGCAGCCAGTACATCCAAGCCTAGTGGTTCAGGCACCCAGGATTCCAAGGAGGTAGCTTTTGACTTGCAGCAGGCAAAGAACCCTATGTTCTTGGCAGCCCAGTTGTTGGACCTGAAGGTTGGCAACAATTTCACTGTCAAAGACCAGCCAGCCAACAGAATTTTCACCCTGGTTGCTGTAGAAGCTGACAAGGTAACCTTGGAGCATGTCCCCTTACTGGAACCCACCAAGAAGATCACCATGAATTTTCTTTCCACAGAGATTGCTGCTCATCTCAAAGCCACCAAGTCCAAGATGCCCAAGCTCTTTACAAATGCCCAGTTGCAACTGATGTGGCCTTCCAACTCTGATCCATGCATGGAAGAAACAGAGAAGTGTTCCCTCTTTGTTGTTCTCCAGGAGGCATACAATTTCCTGGATATGGATGAGCATGAAGTCATGGTCCAAAGCACACCTCATGCCATGTGTTTTGCCCAGAAGGATATGAAGAAGAACTACATTCAGCTGGTGCCATGCCCTGAGAGGCTCCAGAACATTGTGACAAAGAAGCCACCAGTCAAGATCTTTGGGGAGGTTACCTTTCAGATGAAGACCTACTACATCACACCTAGCAAGGCTGTGAAGTGGGATGAAACTAAGCAGGTTTATGAGGGTACTATGTGCCCATTTTGGATTTGCTCAAAAGAAGATGAAGAAGGTTTGCTAGAGTTTAAGTGGATCACCCACAGCCATAAGCTGGGGGATGTCAACATCAAAGTCTTGACCAACAATAGCCCTGTCTCAGCCCACTGCCAGCTGAGTTTGAAGGCACCACCCAAGGACAAAGATCCAATGGGCCCTCCTTTGAAGAAGCACAAGAAACAGTGAAACTAGTTTGGTTTGAGTTGCCAAATATGTGTTTCTATTTGGTTTCATGTTGATGCAGCCATGACAATGAGTGTGGCTTGGTTTCCAATCTTTGCCAAAGGAAGGGAGTGAAGCACATGAGTGCAAGTTTTTGCATATGCAGTTCAAACCATGGTGAATCATGGAAAAAGATTGAGTATTTTCTTGCTTGTGACCATGGTGTATGCCAAGTGTCCAAATCCAATGATAACATGCTCTATTTGTATCCATGTCAAGCCCAAGGGCTTATGTTCACATCTACTTGAAGCCAAAGTGTTTATGCCTTGCCATGCCAAGCCCAAGGCTTACACCATGATCCATGTGAAGGCATGCCTACCTACCAGGGTCAATGTCAAACCAGGGTCAAGCCTTGAACCAAATGATTTGGTATTTTCTTGCTATTCTTTGCAGTGGCCCCACAGGTGCATGACACAAAGGTTCAAAACATGGTCTATAAAGGGCTTGATAATTTGGTGACCATGATGCATCATGTCAAGTGTTCAAAGCTGAATCCAATGATAACATGCTCTATTTGTATCCATGTCAAGCCCAAGGGCTTCCACTGAACATGCCAAGCCAAGCCCAAGGGCTTATGTTCACATCTACTTGAAGCCAAAGTGTTTATGCCCTGCCATGCCAAGCCCAAGGGCTTACACCATGATCCCTATGAAGGCAGGCCTACCTGTTCAATGTCAAGCTTATCATGGAGTGCTATTTAAAGAGGACTGCATGATTTATCATGCTTCTGATTGCTTCTTGCATTTTTGTCATAACCTTCAAGCCTGCAAGGCTTCTGCTCATTTGTTGGTCTGGGCAGCTTACTGTTATTATGTTGCAAGGTTGATAAGTTTGTCTTTTCAATCCTTGGGCTTCACATCATTCTCAACATGTACCATTGGCTGTATTCAGCATCCCCTTGGCAAACTTCCATGTCAACCATGCAGTTTTGGCTCCAATTGAAATTGAATGCTGGCTATGCCCAACCCCTTTGGTGTATCAGTGGCATGGCTGATGGGCAAGGGTCTGAAGTGGAGCTAGGCTTTCAACATTACATTTATTTTGCAACAACTGGCAAAAAGTGGCTGATCCCAAGCCCATTGATCAAAGACAGTGGTGACCACA